AAAAAAAAAAAAAAAAAAAAAAAAAAAAAAAAAAAAAAAAAAAAAAAAAAAAAAAAAAAAAAAAAAAAAAAAAAGCAGTTATTTTAGATCAATTATATCCTCTATCAGCAAGTCACCTACAAGCCCTAGAATAAAGAAATGAGAATGCATTTGCCAGGAGGCTAACATCTCCTCGGCTGAGACTGAGGTCAACAAATTCTTTTGTGAACCTGAGCAAACCTGAAGTCAAAGGCACCCCTCATTGATCTAGTGTGCAGTACTGTACACTGACACTGGTTATTGTTTGCTCTATTAATCACCTTGAAAAGCATACAAGCAAATTCTCTGTTACAGAATCCTTACACAACTGAACATTTTGTTGAGCAGTTGAGCAACACAGTGGTGCTTAGAATTACCAAGCTGCATTGCAAATATTTATTTCAGTGTCTCCTCCAAAATGCATTCTAAAAAGAACCTCTCTTTGAAATTGCACAGTGGCTCTATTAAACTTTCTACAAAACAATTCGAGAAAGCGCAACACTCAGCTAAAAGTAAAATACCTTCAAATTACAGCTGTGGCTCTGCCCCAAAACTGTACATACAGAAAGTCATCTCTTCCAACTGTAGAGAAAGTTATTTCATACCAGACACAGATCTATTGCAGGCAACATTTGGGGGTTTATCTTTATCATGCTCTCTCACATTTCAGTGAGAACATTCCTTTAAAAGGAACATACATTCCTTTAAAAATATGCCCAAGAAAGTTAGAGTGAAATACATGAATAAAGTTGAGATAATTGCATGTCCATATACAGAAGAATATACAAATGGATGGATGCATGCAACTATTCCCAGACAGCATTAGAAGAACAATAAATTGTGAGGCTAAATACATCTGGAAAGCTACAAGGTAGCAGTGCTGACAGACATCACTGCTCTGAAACTACATCATAGCTATAGCATTGTTTGAGGTTGCAGAATGCGATCCTTCATTCCACAATCCTTACAAGTAAATTCTTGAATTATCCAAGAGAGATGAGTGCTTTTTACATATCACTTCACACAAAAATATGCATCAGGCTTGGCTGTCACACAGGAACAGCTCCTCGAGACCTTGGCTGCAGTACGCTGTGGTTCAGTAATGGAACTGGCTCTAAGCGTCTCTGTCAATACTGCCCAGACAAAGGTGGTGCCCTCTCAGGAAAAATACCAAGTATGACCCACTTTGCTCCCTCCTATCTCAAGTTCAATTAGCATTGCTTATTTCTACAAAGCATGTAGCTATTTTGCATGTCAAAGTCATAGGACTAAGAAGGGTATTTCTTGTGGCCTTTCTTTCCTAGCAGTTATAGATGGGATGTGTTTATGCTGCACAGAAGCTAGCAGTGCATGCACCCCTGAACCAGCCCCGGCACCAAAAGCAATGCAATAACATCCTCACAGCACTCTGCCAAACTAAGTAATGCAAGTAGTGTGGGAACAATGCTTCCAGAAATCGGGCAAGTATCTTTGCAGTGTCAGGTAGACAGCAGTTAGAGCAGGTATTAGTCATTCCACATCCAGTCTGGCTGTAGAGAAGACAGGGTGCAGACAGTCTCTGCAGTAACTGTTCCTCTCTCAGATAAACAGAACGCTCATAACCTTTTATTCTTAACCTCTTTCTGCAAGGGTCAGTAAATGCACTGCATATTTCTAGGGGATGAAAGCTTTCATAATTATGGGAAGTTGCTTCTCTACAACTGTCCTGGTAATTGCACAGTGCTTCATTGCACAGTGCAGATTCATTCCCATCATTATTTTCATGAAATAGGGAGAACTCCCTGCACACTAAATCAAGACAAGCTTAGTTAGGGATGTTTGGGGATGATTTCCTTATCTGGGTCTTCATATGCCTCCATGTCCCAACAGACATCTTTCTAAGCAGCAACCAAATTATTAGCACATAACTTATGCTTCATTAACATTACTCTGCAATTTACCAATAATAAATGTGGATCAGAGTGATTTTCTTGTTTCTTCTAGATAGCATGACCTTAATTATTCTGATATCATTTCCCAATAGCCTTTGTCATGGTTTTAAGCCCAGCTGGAGATGAAACACCAGACAGCCACTCACTCAACCCATCCTCTCTTCCCCCCTCATCCCACTGGAATCAGGAGGAGAATAGAAGTAAAACTTGTATGTTGAGATGAACAGATTAGTAATTGAAAATAAAGAAAAATACAATAATAATGCTAAATAATAATAACAATTATAATAAAAAGAGGGAAAAAAACACCAATTGATGCACAATGCAATTGTTCAGCAGCTGTTGATCGATGCCAGACCTCCCTTCATGAACTCAAACCCTGGTCCCCCCTTTCAGGTAACTCACTCCTGTTTATATACCAGACATGACATTATATGATGTGGAATATTCCTTTGGTCAGTTCGAGTTCCAGATATGCTCCCTCCCTGTTTGTTTTTTTTTTTTTTTGGCATTCAGAGCATGAGACAGGGAAAAAATGTCCTTGACTTAGGATAAACTCAACATAGTAAAAAACCAGAACACCAGTGTGTTTTCAACACCATTCTCATTATGAATCCAAAACACAACATTGTAACAGCTACTAAGAAGAAATTAACTCTACCCTAGCTGGAACCAGGACACCCTGTTATACTGGAGATGATTTGCTCTAGCAACTTCATGTCTAAACCTTCACTTTTCCACCAATTTACTGCATTAATTTTCAACAAACTCTGTCCTATTGTCAAAGATTGCAGCATCTGGAAAATAGGAAATCTATGGCAAAAAAAAAAATTCACTATTATAACAGAATCCAACAGCAGCCACTCTTGCAAGCTTTAATTCTTGTTTTTCTAGAGTTGCAGCATGGTGATCCTCCATTTTAGGCATCTGTGGAAGCAAGTATGATAGACTACACTGAAACAGTGCAGAAAACTTCACCACACTGTAGAGAAAAGTGCCTTTAACATTGTTATTATGTCATTAGAGACTATTAACCAAGAAGAAAGAAAAAAAGAATAGTCATCTTCCTTTCACTAATTGTCTCATGAGCAGAAAATTTACAATGCATGACAGCAAAGACTTTTGTAATATAAGTCATTTCTGATACAAGATTAAATTTTAAAAAAAAGGAGTGTAAGGTATCTCAGATGTTCATCTTTCATATGATAACTGAACTCCTAGTAGATGTATGCCTTCAGTCCTAACTACAATATCCTATTACACTAGTGACATCATAGATGATACTATTAATACATTGTTACTGTATCACAGATCATCATTCATGTGCAAATCCATTTGCTTGAATCCAGTAAAAAACTTTTAGGATTGAAACATCAGTAATTTAATGAGGAACATATACACAGGATATTTTCCAAAACATCAATGTCTAATTTGTTGGTGGAAAGAGTAGAAGGTGATTAACTGAAGGCATATACTTGAAAATAAATTGTTCTAGCTTAGAATAAAGGCGTCTTTCTTTTTCTTGTAGTCTCTATTTTAATTATTTAAAAGTTTTTTTTTTTATCTGACATGGGTTCCTGAGGGAGAAGTTCTGTCCACTTGTATACACTACTTTGAATCCATGACAATGCTTTCATTCGGGACAGGGAGGCTTAGATGAATTAGAAAAGAGTATTTGAAAGGGGTCCCCTCCCCCACTCACTATACTTCCCTGCTTCTTCACTTTAACTTCAAGTTTCAGGCTACTTACCTAGTTTCAGGTAAGTTCATATCTTGCCAAGCACTGTTGTAATTCTCTATCAGCCAGGACAACCTTTTTTGAAGTCACAAGTTACCAATGAAACATGACAGCATGTGGCCACATGACACTGTAGACTACCAGGAGATACTGTGAAAAAATAGGAAGAAATTTTTTAATGAAAACTACTTGGTCCTATGGACCTGACATCCACACCAGACATGATTAGGCTTTGTCTAACCATTCATTTTGGACTTTTCCTCATGAACAGAACACCCCTCTGTGTCTGGAGAGCTTTAAATGGTTCCTGTAGCACTTCTGCCAGTGTTTCACCCAAAAGGAATCCATTTCACTCACTCTGAGACTGCTCCAGGATGCAAAGCAAAGTACAGTAGGTGGGAATAGTCAGCAGATTGATCTAAAAAGAACACACCAATATGCACTGGCACACTGACATCAGCTCAGCCCTTGAACATCAAACTCCAATCCTACTCAAATGGATTCATGCTTCTGACCAGTGACTTTTGATTAAAACCAGACCTTAGTATTAGATTCCTTTTCAGCCAGGCATTGTCTTTTTATGTGTATATTTTTATAACCTTTCAAGCTACAAAGGAGTCCATTCTGAGTTGGATCTTCTGAGTGCTGCCACACAATAAATACCAGGTAACAAACATGTAGCTGTTTCACACTAGACACCCTATTACAATAGGGAAATTTAAGTTAAGGAATTTAAGTTAATCAGCACTCAATGCTGATTCATGGCAGTGTAAGGATACTTACACCATCTTCTTTGTAAATATATTTTCCAACAGGACATTATCTTTGCATAACTCAGGGTAATATATCCCTATATTGATAGTCTACATATGCAGTCAATTCAGACTCTGCAGAAACACAGGATCCTTGCAGTCATTCCTTCCAACACAGCAAGGCCTGGGCTGTTCCAATTAGTTATACAGCTCAATTATCAGAAGTTTCTAGACCACTTTGGACACATTTAAGTGGCAAAGCTTGTGGAAGCAATGGAACTTGTATTGTGGCAATATCCTAGCAACAAAGCTTAGCTACTGTAGAATACCAAAATACTGAATGCTGAAATCAAATCTTGATTTAGAATATCAGACATAATGAAGAATCAGTCAGCAAATGTTTCTTGGCTGGTATGAAGGCTTTAAGAAAAGACTAGAAAAAGAAAGAAACAGGTTCATGTCACAGAACAGCTGGTATTTGCAGTAGCTATTTTGGGTGGACAAAATTTTAGGACTCAGTTTAGCTGCCCCTAGCTCATGTCCAAGTATAGTATACACATGCTCACTGCAATGCCAGACAATTTTCATAGCTCCACAGCCTTTCAGAGACCAGATGGGATTCCCTGTGGCACCTACAATAAATACTGATGCAGGTACAACTGAACTTAGTTCCAAGAGTGAGAGCCCTTCCAGACAGAGATCCTGAATGTAGGTATCTAAAAGTCCCCTAACCTTACATCAAAGAAAACAGGGACTTGAATCAACAGTCTGAATGGAGAGCAGGCACAATTATTTGATAAAAATTATTGTTAACACTTATTCACCTAATCTCCCTGGCTCACTATTTGGAGTTTAGCTATATTAGTAATTTGCTCTAAAACTGCAGAGTGGATAGAAAGAAAACCTCTGTGTAGGATGCAAGCCAGTGAGCCTGCAATAGTCTTCAAATAATATAAATAACCAGTACTTCAAAATGAAAGGTTTAGATAATATAACAACAAATAGTTCAAAACCAAAGGTTTTGGTTTGCTTGTTCTTCTTTAATGAAGTGCAAAAATAATTATGGAAGGTACTAACCAGTGTACCATGTTATGTGGAGCAGTTGGCAGCTGTAAGTCTTTTCATGTAACTTACCTACAGATTGTGCGTTTAAAGGCTTACAGAAAGAGGTGACGTATAGCTTGCAGAAGCGGTGATCTACAGAACAGCGCACTGCTTAAATACCTGTCCTTAGCTCTCCTTGGATGGCACATCCCCTGCAGGCGAGCTGCCCGCGCGTCCCGGCCCGTGGGGCGCAGCTGCTCCGCAGTTCCCGCCAGTCACCGCTGCGGGGCGCCCGCTCACCGCGGCACGCAGCGGCCGCAGGGGGGAACACGCCAAAAGTCTCGGAGAAACCGAAACAAAAATAAATAGGCTCTCCATCATCACATTCCTACAACGGGTGCTTCAAATTTGAAGTCTTCCTCTCCTCCTCTCCGGCACCTTGCGATAATGCAAACTAATAGAAGACAATGAGCCAGGACTGTTTACAAATAAAATTCATTTCAGACCTGAATTCTAGCTCTATTTATTCTACAAACACAACTAAGCTTTATTTTCCAAGAAGAATTGTTAAAATTACATTAACTGGTCTTAAAAGTTACCTTATATGTCGGGTTCATCTCTGTTGCAGTAAAAAGATTCATTCTGCCTAGAATCTATATACATATATAGAGAAATTCCAAGCATCTTAGGGCTGAATGGAATTACCTGCAGCATTAGAAGTGATGTGTTAATTAAGATCAAACTCAGAACTCACATACCCATATGTACATACACAGAGACCAAAAAAAGCAATTGTTACTTTACCTTCTGAAAGTTCAAAGTCCCTAGAGAAGGAGAATAAATTTAAACTGTAGACAAATCCAGCTCAAAAGTTAAATGCTTCATCTCTCCTAGTTCAAACAGCCACTATGTTAAGTCTAGTCATCATCTACCTATCTCTTGCATGACTGCAACAATATCCTTTAGCTGAATCTTTTTAGATCCAGCAAAGGAAAGCACAGATCCTCGGTCTGGGAGCTGCAGGTGCACAGCTGGCTGTTCTTCCTGGTGCTCTCTGTGGGCACCAAGACAGGCACCAAGAACTATTTCAATGGTATTCAACCTGCTGACACAGGTGTCAATAATACAATTCTACAATACACACACAACCACACAAAAAATGTATGACCTCAGGAGGAGCATATTGCTTTTAAAATTATCCCAAGAAATATTCCCTTTCAGCCAGGCACCAGTACATTACTCCTTAACTCTGCCCCAGAGCAGACCTTGTAAGTTATGGTCAAAATCAAGTGTCACAGCTGCCCACCCCAGATGGGCCCTCTCCGTAAACTATTCTGTAAGATAAATAGCACTGACAGGTTAATGTGCCCAGTTTGGCAATAAATGTAATTTCACCTGAGTTAATTTCTTGAAGTACCAAGAAGTTTACAAAATCCCGTCATAGAGTGGTGAATGAGTTTGAATGGCAGCATCCTCTTTTACATTCAAGGGTTTTCACTAAAGGTAATCTCCATGTTCTTCATAGACACTCATTTCCTTAGAATATATATCCTTGCATTTCCTCATAACATTTTACTGACAAAGCCTTGAGGTTTTTAAGTGATATTAAATGTTATGATTGACTGCATTTCTCTATCTCCTTGGACACCAGACCTTAGCTCTTAACTTCTGAGAAAGTGAACTGAAATTAATTTGAAATCAGCTACCTGAAACTGAGAACTGAACATTTTTGTTTGGTGTGTGTTTGTTTGGGGGTTTTATTGTTTTGTTAAGTCGTTTGGGTTTTTTTCTTTTTTGGTGAGTTTTTTGGGGGGCTTTTTTTGTTGTGGTAGTGGGTTTGGTTTATTTTTTTGGGGGGCATGGGTTTGTTTGTGTTTTGGTTTATTTTTTTGGGAGTGGGTTAAAGGAGTTTATTAACTCCCTTAATTGTTTTCATTACACAATCTGTGTTGGAATTTCATCTTATTTTAATGAGTTGAGAGTGACTTTCATGAACCATTTGCTCAGCACCTTCAGATTCTTACATAAGTGTAATCAGGAGTTCCTCTGCTGAAAGCAAGATGAGCCTTTTGCCTTTGCATTAACAACATAACTTCAGTTTATGCATAGGAAAAACACCATAGATGGAATCAAAAGTTCACTGAGGCTCACTTTATAAATACATACAGAGAGTACAAATATGTTTGTGCTCTCTGCATATGTACACGCAGGCAGCTTAAGTAAAATACAAGAAAGAGCACAGATTAAATACAAGGAAAATAGCTCGACTAATATTAGCATATATCACCTGCATTTGCATCTAATGTCTAAATGGACAAAGTAAGCATCATGTTTGATCCAGCACCAGTTTCTCCCTCTCTCATTCTTCTTTGAAGATCCACTTGCAGTGTCACATCATTTCCAGAAAAACCTATTGTAACAAACAGCTTGGCTGCAGTGTGCGTATGGCATCGTTACAAGACTGGGAAGCAAGCAGAGTGTGCAACACAGACAGAACCCTTCACTGCTCTGCACACCTGGCTGCACTGCCTGCCTGGGCTGGGGACAGGGCAGAAAGCTGCACGAGGTGGCAGGACCAGTCAAGAGCTGCGCTGTGCATTTCCACAGACCAGTGAGTCAGCCAGACCCCGTGCAGAGATAACTGAACCTGGAGAGATAAGGAATTATAGGATAGTGAAGACTGCAGTTGCCAAAATCAATCATTTTGCCCTGCACCACATCCTCCCTTGCCACATACTGCTTTTTCTTTAGCTGTGTTACCCCTGGCTCTGGGAAACTGATCCAGCTATACCTTCTTTCACCTGAAGTTGCTTCTAGTCATATCAGTTTCTGTATCTGGCATATCAAATGTCTGTGCTAACACAAAGTGAGAACAGCTTGCCCAAGATGGGGCTTAGGTTGATTTAAGTAACTTTGAGAAGCTGCACATTGAGGAGTAGGAAGGGACACACAGAAAGGAAAATAAGAAAAAGCTAATTTTGCTAACAAAAAGGAATTCAAACTCAAATATTTTTCATTAAAATGTCTAATAATTCTGGTGAAAGGATGCACTGATTTACATCCTATTTTGGATGTGTGAAACTTGTCATCTGAGAAGTAATTTTATCTTAAAATAGGCCAATTTTTATTCATTTATACCATCATATTTTAGGACTAAAAACTTATTATTAGACTCTCCAACATTAAGATGATGACTGTAAGAAGTACTTTGTTTGAAGGCAGAAGCTTTTTGTCAGGGTCATGAATGAATCTGCTAATAAGTATTACTTTGAAACATAACTACAGCATTTTTTTAAACCTACATGTGACAGTTCTGCAGCTGCAAACATTCTCAGTTTCCCAGTATACATCACAAGCTGTGCACACAGACTTATAATGTACTGAAGACAGTTGAAATTTGGCTGATGTTATTCCACAGGGGAAAAAAAAAAAATAATACAATTCTTGAATAAATCCTAGAAATACCAATAAGGAAGGAAAAAAAAATGAAACCTAAAAAGCTCACCTCATTTACTCAAAACATTTTTTTAATCTTCCCACTAAAATAGACTATATTTTTTCTATAACTAAAATAGGCTATAGTCAACTGATACAAGTACATGGGGTTTCATATTATACAATAAATCTGTTGAGATAATAAGTACCAGCTGGATCTATCCCCAACAGCAATAATAGTATGTAAAACATGATTATAATGTAACAGATTGTGAAACAGAAGAGATGGTTTCACTTATTAAAAGGCCCTTATGTTAATACAGTAACAGAAAAGAGTTCTGCTAGTACACAATGCTCCTAGCAAGGCCTTTTGGTAATACAGTAAATTATTTAAAAGGTGAATTCTCCAAAAATATTGCCCATGAATATTTTTAGGAGCTTTATTACACAAATGCAGGCCTGCTGCTGAATGAAGCAGAGTCTCTGGTGGCAGAGGACATTGGAAAAGGCTGATGTACCAAATGCTGCCTTTACCTCAGCCTATTGTAGCAAGTCTGGCCTTCAGGACCCCCAGCTGCTGGAGGTCACAGGGAAAATCTGTAGCAAGGAAGCTGTATCCTTGGTAGGAGGTGATGAAGTCAAGAAATATTTGGGCAACCTGGATCTACACAGGCCCTGATATCCTAGAAGTCCATAATGACCTGTAGGTGCTGAAAGAGCAGGTAGATGTCATCACAAGGCCACTTTTGATAATCTTTGATCATGGCAACTGGGAGAAATACTTGAGGACTGATGAAAAGCAAACATCCCTCCTGTCTCCAAGAACAAGGACTCCAAGAATTACAGTGTAGTCAGCCTCACCTCAGTCCCTGGCAATATGATGGAGTAACAGTTCCCAGAAATTATTTCCAGGCATATCAAAGGCAAGAGTGTTAAAAGGGTCGTGAGCATCACTCATGGGATGTAATGCTTGACACCAAGGAGATAAACTTCTACAATAAAATGACTGGTCAGACAGATGGAAAGAGAATAGTAGATATTATTTACCTGGACAACAATAAGGTTTTTGATATTGTCTCACATAGAACCTCATAGAGAAGCTGAACAAGCAATGAGATGGAGTGCAAACTGGCTGAACATCCTGGCCCAGGGGGTGGAAATTGATTGAAATCTAGCTGAAGAGCATAATAAGCAGTGTATCCTTCGGTCAACACTCTTGTACAACATTTTCAATAATGGTTTGGATGATGGGGCAATGTAGCATCCCATGAACTCTTGGTCAATTCCCAAGTCCTCGGCCCTGGCAATGGCAATAGCTACTTACCATAGTCAGTCCTTCTGGGGGGAAAGCAGGCTCCCAAACAGGCTTCTGTGTCAACTTCCCCTGTGTAACTTCCCCTGGTTTCTCCTTTCCCTGTCCCCTCGCTGGATTGGTATCCCTGGGGGCCACCCCCCTTTCCCTGGAGACAAAACCCCTCTGCCCAACCCTCAGCTCCACCCCCTACCCCTTCCAGTTCTTAAACTCCCTTCTCCATGGGGTTGTTCTCTTTTGCCTTGCTGGGTTCCCTTCAGCCACATGTGACATACTTCGCTGAAGTAAAACCCTCCAAAAGAGCCTTTCTTGTCTCTTGTCGCTGAGCCAGCTGTGGTGAGTGTCGAGTGAGGGTCTGACTGCATTGTCTGAAGCTTAACTCAACTTGCTTTTCTAAAGGAGAGGTTGGTTGGGGACAAGAAATAGACAGCAGCACCCACCACTCCAACACCTGCAATTTTAGGGCAAAGTGTACCCTCAGCAGGTTTGCTGGTGACACTGAACTGGGAGGAGTGGATGAGATGATGGAGGGTTGTGCTGCCATCCAGACAGACTTGGACAGTCTGGAGAAGTGGGCTTTCAGGAACCTCATGAAGTTCAATACAGGTAAGTGCAAAGTCCTGGGTCTGGGGAGGAACAACTCTATGCACCAATGTATGTTGATGGCTACTCATGTGGGAAGGAGCTTTGAGGAAAAGGACCTGGGGATCCCCGTGGACACCAAGCTGACCATGAACCAGCAATGTGCACTTGCAGTAAAGAAGGATAGTGGATTTCTGGATTTCATTAGGAGTGTTGACAGCAGGTTGAGGGAGTTGGTTCTTACCCCCTTCTCAGCACTTGTGAGGTAATGCCTGGACCTCTGGTATCCCCAGTGCAAGACAGACATGGGCATATTAGAGAAACTCTGGTGATGGTTCACTATAATAATTAAGGGAATGGGACATTTTTCCTATTTGGAAGGGTTGAGAGTGGCTATTTTTTCTATGAGTCTGTGTTTGGCCTGG